ATACTTTCTTCTCAAAGAAAGAAAGAAATACTAGATAACATAAAAAGAAAAGGGGCCGGGGATTTAGCTCAGTGGTTCCGCCACCCGCCTCCCAAGCGCAAGGTCCTGAGTTTGATCTCTGGTACCCACCCCCCTGCCAAAAAAAAAAAGATAAAAAGAAAGGGAGACAGGTAAAAATCAGTTCTCTAGTAGGTCTTGAGAGGTTATGTTTTAGTCATTCCTTTGTCTATAAATTTGTTTTATCTACTACTTTGAAATAATAATTGCTGCTTGTTCCTAATTCTTCAACACTAATCCCTAAACTCTCAGATCCCATTCCGCACTCATCTTCAGGCTCCAGGAGCACCACCCACCCCGATCCTTACCATGGCCCAGGACGCCACACAGAACAACAGCTGAGGCTCACACCTGAACCCTCCTCTCACTGGCCTAGGAACTCTCCACTTTCACTTGTGATGTCAAAAATGAAAACCAAATCAACTTGTCGGCCTCATTTCTCCTTCCAATGTAGGTAAAATATGTGCTCTAAAAATAACATGTGCTGGTCGCCTCTTAACTCAATGATACCTTGGCTGCCCACTAGAAGAAAGCTCAGAAAGCTTAGACTTGCTCCACGTGATCATCATGCTACTGATTTAGAAGAGAAAGCAGTAGTAAAACAAAAGAGTTGCGAGTGAAGTAAAGATCAGTAAGAGAAAACAAGAAACCAAGCTCTGCCCTTAGAATACTACTGTAATTGTCTTCATCAAGCTAAATCCCCAAAAAACTATAATTTCTTTGTAAGGGCTTGAAGCCTGTGTAAAGCTTTTTTTTTTTTTTTTTCGGTACCAGGGATCGAACTCCGACCTCGTACCTGCAAGGCAGGCAGCGGAACCACTGAGCTAAATCCCCAGCCCCAAAGCTTTTTTTTTAATACTAGGATTAAACCCAAGACCTTCTCAATGAACTACATCCACAGCCACTTTTTTACTTTTTGTTTGTTTCTGTTTTGTTTTGGGGACAGGACCCTGCTATGTAGTTCAGGCTGGCCATGAACTCACTATGCAGTCCAAGTGACCCTGCTGCCTCAGCCTCCTGGGTGCAGGGCCTACAGATGTACACCTCCTCACCTGACTAAATTTGTGTAATTATGGGGATTAAAATTTGATATTTAAAACTAGTCTTTAATCTGACCAACTATTAAACAAAGATTTTATTATCAGCCTTGTAGTAACAAGAAAAATGGTAAAATATTCTAGTCTTCAATATTATGAATCCTGCTCACTAAAATTTGAACTCTAAATTCACAATAGAACTATAAATTCTAAATCTACTACATAAGTGAATTCACTGACTAGGAGAATGAATACTAGCTGAATATTTTTAATTTTCCCAAATTACAGTTGTTAATGATTCTATCATGTCAGGGATTACTGATATCCAGATATGGTGGCTACATGCTTGAATCACAGAACACATTCATTAAGAAAGTCTCATTGTCAGTAACTTGGTATAGCTAAATACAAAAATGTCTTCCATTATCACAGCACTGATAATCAAAAAAATACATATGAAATTTTTCGTAACACTCCTGTCATCCCAATCAATTATGCTTTGTTTAGGTTAACATCAACCTGTCTACTAGTCCGCAACACAGTTTGACTTGGTACTAAAGAAATATGGATCAGCTGGGTGTGGTGGCACACACCTGTGATCCCAGCACTTGGGAGGCTGAGGCAGGAGCTTTGCTATGAGTTCAAGGCCAGCCTGAATTACAAAGTGAGACCCTGTCTCAAAAAAGTGAAAAAACAAAAAGAAAAAATATAAGGACCAGACATATTTCATATTTGCTCAATATCAAAAGGAACCAAAAGTAGATTTAAATTTTATAACAGGGGATGTGTTCTATTAATGTTCTATGTACATATTTTTAAATTTTCATGCTTTTTCACAAACCAATGATGTGATATAGATGGCAAGAAACAGCATCCTTGGAAGTGTTCTTCGCAGAAATTGCCTTTTCAGCAATTTAAGGCCAACAAAATCAGGTCAAATTATACCCAAAATCTAGCAGCAGCATCAGGATAAAGTAACACATTGATTTGTATTTATTCAATGTCCTTTGACAAAACCCACTCCAAAATGAAAACAATCACCTATGCACTGCTCCATAATACCTTTATGAAAATTCTTCAGACCAAAGTCGCACATTATTTCCACACAAAAGGAAAAACATTAAAACATTTACTCTCGGGGCTGGGGATTTAGCTCAGTGGTTCTGCCACCTGCCTCAAAAGCACAGGTTCCAAGTTCGATCCCCGATACCAAAAAAACACACAAAAAACCAAAAAATATTTATTCTTGGCACCTCAACACGCAAGCGCGCGCACACACACGCACAAATGGCTTCTAACAATATAAAATAAAATCTCAAAGACAATCCAGTGCCCTAGTAAATTAATCAATAGCTCCTATAAAATAGAACGGAGGTCTCAGAAAGGTCAATCTTGCCCCATTTAATCCTAAGGCACCAAGAAAGATATTTTTGTAAGACCATGAAGAATCTGAAAATTAGGAGAGACCTTAGAGGTCACAAATCTGAAGGAATAATCCTCCCCACATTCCTTCCTCAGGTGTAACTAAGAACAAGATGTCAGTGGTACTGGTGGTAGCTACCCAACCACTTCTGCCCCCTGCCCTGCACCATGTATTTACAGACCATTCCAGCAGGGGATAAAATCCTACATTTTAATAGAATGAATCAAAAAGTCATATATCAGTCTTTTTCTGAATGATATGCCATCATTTTACTCGGCATACATCAACAGAGATGAACTCAGAAGTACTTTCATTTACTCAGTTCAACAAGTTAGACACATTAATAAAGGCCTATGTGCCAGATACCAAAGGTACCACTACAACAATGACTACAAAAGCTGAAGAGTGTCCACAATACTTTGTTCTCAGTAAAGTGATAATGGGTTCACAAAAAGGCAGGAGATAGGCTGGGCGTGGTGGCGCACACCAGTAATCCCAACACTCAGGAGGCCGAGTCAGGAGGATATCCATAAGCTGGAGACCAGCCTGGGCTACATAGTGAGTTTAAAGCCAGCGTGAACTACATAGTGGTACCGTCTCAAAACAAAACAACACAAAGCAGGAGATTAAAGAGAGTGGATTGAAGGCCTGCTGAGTATAAATCCCGCTCTCCACTAGCTACAAAAGGCTAGTTAGGTCAGTTAACCTGTAAAAATGGAGATTACACGTACAAGATGTGGTGAAAAAATGCTTACATGTTTACAGTTTAAACACTCTTTCATGGGTATCTTTAGTTGCACTGTTGTGGCTGCCTCAATGTCCTGAATTGATTCAAAACGTTTACCTTTCATTGTTGTTTTGACTTTGGGGAAGAGCCAGAAGTTACACCACGCCAGCTAGTGAACGAGGTGGATTAGGACATGCCATGTTCTCACAAGCCTGCCTTTCTGCTGGCTGGTGCTTGTCAGCAGCATTCACAATATTTTTTATCACACCTTGCAACGACACAAAAGAGGACTTCCAGAACTGTTTCAGAAAATGATGAGACAAGCGTGTTTGGAGAGAGGGGGAGTATTCTGAAGGGGGCTTAATGGCAATGTCTTTTACTGTAATAATTTTTTTATTTAAACATTCACCACATAGGGCCGGGGATTTAGCTCAGTGGTGCCAGTGCCTGCCTCAGTTTGATCTGAGGTACCAAAAAAAAAGAGTAACAACATTC